ATAATCACACTGACAGACAAGAGGGGTTTCCGCCGCAGGTTTATATGTACGTTATCTGCGCGTCCACATCTCCACGTGCAGTGCTGCATAAACACGGCTGAGTCAGCGATAACTTTCGAGGGGTGGAGGTATGCCCATTATTTTGAGTTTGTCTGAAGAATAGACAGGAATGTGACGGTGAGGTGCAAACTGTGTCCAGGCCTGAAGCTGTTATCCACTGCTGTAAACACCACGTCAAGCCTCAACAAGCACCTGCAAAGAACACATGCTAAGGTGAAGCTAATAGCTAAGGACCCCCGAACCCAGAGTGAGGATGTTGTGAGTGCGCCGCCGCCGACCCCGAGGCAACAAAAATTTGAATTTGGAGGACCAGTAACCAAAGCAGAGATGGACAGGCTTGTAGCATCCTTCAGAGTAGAGGAAATGTTTCCCATTTGCACAGTGGAATCACCATCGTTCAGAGATATACTGCGCAAAATACACATAGCAGGAGACAGAGGACAGCCATGGTCAGATAGGAAAACATTCAGGAGCTATCTGTTTCGCAGAGGCAAAACTGTGGCGCGCTTACACTGTAGGTGCGCCGCAGTCTGCGTGATCTGCCTGTAGGGAGGGGCGGGCCGGCCCTGCGAGTAAAGTAACGAGTTACTTTATGTAGAGAGTAACGAAGTAGTGTAATATATTACTTTTTTTTTTTAAAGTAATATGTAATATATTACTTTTTTTCAGTAACGACCCCATCTCTGTGTACAGACATGTTTTAGCAAGTGAAGGATTGTGCGGTGTCAAGCATTACTGTCAGAAGAAAACCTAGCAGAGTTAACATTATTCTAGTTTTACAGATTTTCTTTGTACAATTTATTTTGAAATTACCATAATTTAGAGAAATAAAATGTTTTTGAAAAAATTACATTTTAAGAAAAAAAAGTGTGTTTTTGTTTCTGAATGAATAAATGTGACCATTTGGCTTATATTTGTGTGTTGTGCATGTGAATCATATAATATCACTTTTTCAAGTATAGAAAAGAAGTTGAAGTTGAAGATGAACTCCCCTAAAAATAAAACAATCATAGACATGAAAAAAGAAGATAAACCTACCGGACATTTTTGAGCATGTACAGCACCTCGGAGGGGAGGTGTGAGTTGGCCACATCAAACTCAGTGAGGTCCGCCTCCAGCACTGAGGGAGGGGGCTCCTTGGCCTGCAGGATTGGCACCTCCTTCTTGAAGCGTAGGATCCTGCACAGCAGAAGGACAGTGTGATATGAGGAGGGGATGGGAAAGTGTGTGAACTTCTTACAGTGAACTTTCAGTCGAAGTTTTTCTGTTGTTAAGAGAAAGCTTTCTTATTTACTTTTTGGCAATGTTGAGCATCTTCTGCTTCTTCTTTAGGCGCGGCCGAGAGGAAGAGGATGTACCCACCAGGGAAGAGGTAGACTGTGAGACCTGTTGAGAGACATGTTGGTTATAAAAATAGCCCTTATATATTGCCAAAAGCAGCCTGTGATAACTACAACACAGACGTGCAGGCTTGCTTATTGAGTATTTTCATTTTCTGTCATCCAAACACTCACTTTACGCATGATCTTTCGGCCGTAGAACATTACTTTGTCCCTCTTGCGAAAGCGGTATTTGGGGGCCTGCTGAGCTTCTATGTCTGAAAAATAAGAAATGACATAAAACCTTCAAAACACATTACTATTTTTACATATTCTCAATGCATGGTGAGATTGGATTCTTAGCAGATACTGACTTCGAAGCTGGATCCTTCGCAAGATGAAGAAGATGAGGATGGCAATGAGCACTATGGCGATGCCCGCACCAATCACCATCCCCACCATCTGCACAGAAAAGAAGAAGAGAAGAGGAGAGTGGATGTGTTTACAAGGTCAAAAGCTGACAAAATCTAATGACTGATTCACTTATATTATATTTACTTTGATGTTTTTAAGGTCTAAGAATGACTTTATTAAATCATCTATATCTTTGTGCTTTCTAAATACTCCAGAGCTACATTATATGTTCTGGCTATTTATGGGAAAACATGTATGGCATTAATACAATTTGCTGCACTTACCATGCTCGACTGTAGTTCCTCCTCAACAAATGTCTTGATGTTATTAAACCCATCCTAGTGTAACAGAAAAATACAGAGGATTACAAGCAGCCGCTTTAATAGCATACCCAATGGCTACAGCTGCAACAGTGATTTTGCAACAATATTGTAATGGTTGACAACTGCTTTAGGAAAATATTAAGAAGATGTTATAATTAATAAATATCAGTTATGTTGATATAAGTCAAGTAATAGAACAGTTTGAACAGTCCAAGAACATCCATTTATTGTAATTCAGGGTTGAAAATAAACTTTTGCAATATCCAGATATCTATTTCTAGTCTCCCATCACAACATTGATATCATAACTTATATTGCCCGGTCCTAGGGGCAAGGCCCAGGCGATGAGTGTTGGGAGATGATAGGAGCCTACTACATATGAAACACCTAGATTAAACTATTTTTGATCAAGAACAACAGTAATGTTTGAAAAAAAACAACTGTATTTTCAAAAAAGTAGAGATTTAAAAACTCACGTTTGCTTCCTCAAATAAAGCAGGTGTTGTATCTGCTTCGCTTGGTCCATTGTCTATGTCAGTGGGGACGAACTGGACCTGATAATAAAGATAGAAGGAAAAAAAAATCACATCATCGTCTGACTCGTCTGAATTCCTACAGAAAGGTCAAAGTCTGCTGATCACTCTACAAGATAACGTTTGCATATGACCCATGCCCCCCCTAATGTGGGTCAATCCAGTGTTAATGTAGTTTGACCTTGAAATAGCTGATGGATTTGTTTTATTCAGTCACATGTGGATGTAGGGGGTAATATGGTCTTGTGCTGCTATAGGGGGTGTAGCCTCACTACCTACAAACAAGGCTCCATGAGATGACGACAAGACATAATGAAAACTGATGGAGCTGGATTTATGTGAGGCAGAGAGACAGAACGCAACAAAGCATGAAAGAAAGAAAAGGATCAAAATGTTGTGTTCCTATTCATGTGCATTGCCTCCCAGCAACTACACAGAGGAAGAATACTCTTAAAAAGCTGAGTAGATTTTCCATTTAGCTTGATGAATGACTTTTTATCAGTAAAGTTCAGCAAACATTGAACTAAGTAATTCTCTAAACAAGATTGTCAGTTCAGGGAGTGGAGATCCTGTAGCCAAGATAAGCTTGTTTGTTTCACTCCAGTATGAGTGTGCAAGAGTAATATGTTTTTAGTGTCTTGGCTGACAGCCAAAGAAACAACATGTCTGTTATCAGTGGATATTGATTAGTGTGAGGAGCTAAGGTAGTAAAAGGCACTGGGGAATATTCAATGAGTGCACAGAAAGGATGTGCACACATAAATACACTGTAGCTGGAGGCTTATAGGAGCAATGTAGTTTGTGAATCAAAGTGTAAGTGTGGAAAGTGTTCACGTGGGCAATTCACAGTTTAAAGGTGGTGTCTCCTATCAATTGAAAGTCTGTTACTAAAACACTAGTGGAAATCTTAACATGAAGAGCTATGCGTGTGAAGACATCACAATACGTCACATAACAGGAAGTGATGGGTTGATTATCAGAATCGATTTCTAGCTTTAGGTTATTATATTTATTTTCCTAATGTTTGCTTAGAATTCTCATTAAGAGAAAATATTTGTCATGTTAAGTTCAGACCGAGCCTTACAGATCTTGTCATCCTTCTTAGCTTTGGGTCGATTTAGAGACGCTTTATCATGTACATCGTAGGGTTAATGTCTGGGAAAGTTATTTTCAAAGCAGGAGCATTTGCAATGTTTTAGACTTGCAAGCTAACAGTCAGCCAAAAATAAAAGATATGCTAAAACTTGATATATGAAAATAAACTACAAATAAAAGGAGGGCTTCTTCCTTATGGGAATATTCAGGGGTGCCGCCAGGGATTTCGGGCCCCATGAAAAGATATCACATTGGACCCCACCACCAGGCCCAGGCCACGCCAACCAAGCACAATGCTGTAACCACACCTCCAGAACCCAACCCACCCATTTATGCTTTAAATAACTCTACCTGTACAGGCTTGCATCTATCTTGTAGTCCAATACTAACTAAACAATATTTACTGACACTCAGCGGTGAAAATATAACACTGTGCAGACGTGCAACATTCTGCTGCAGTAGAATTCACTATTTTATATAACACTAACATTCCTGACAATAGACCTCAATAGTCATCTTTTATGGTGTACATGCCTTTTTAATAACATTTTTGAATGGAACATTTAAAAATCATAATAAATATAACTTAAATATACATGACCTCTTAAATTAAAATAAAGCGAACATTAACACCAATATTATAATTTATAAAATGCTATAATAACATAAGCAGCAGATTTTAAATTAAATATACATACCAACTACAAAATAAGCGGGTATTACTATGAGTGTCTGAGCTTTTTTATAATGGCTCGCAGCGGCCTGGAGCGACTGGTGTTACCATGTATGCCGTACCAGGGTTGTCGCAATGGATTTCCGTTTGAGTGTGAGTACTAGGAATGCGCACGGCACATGGTCCTTCCCCTCTGCGGCGCTCCGCCCCCCTCGCTCTTCATTATGCCGAAAGACTATTCGTCGACACCTCTCATATACGACGTCCCTCCACCTAGGTGTTGCGTGAGTCCTTTGCTTGCGATCGAGGCAGAAAAAATGACACTTTCCCTTTACACTGAGCTACAGACTCTCCGACCATAAACACGTTGGACGTGTTTGTGTTTATGCGTGGTACTTAATCTTACCACTTTATGTTACATTTTATGCTTTTTAGGTTCGAGTGATTTTGGTTGCGAGTTGAGTGCGTTGATGATGATTGGCGTTCAGTCTCTCGGGCTCTACGAAACTGGGAAACACTTAACATATGACTGCGCAAACTGCGCATACTGGATTTTTTTTCGGCAAAAATTCGTCGTCTCGAGTTTAACGAGGAAAAGGGAGACTTAATGACGGGAATACAAGCATTTTGTATAGTTAGGATGGTAAGTGAAAAAATAACAATTAAAGTTCGTTCAAAATTCGTATTTACATCGCTTTTTTTTTGTTGGACGTTCTACGAGAAATTTCCCGTTCCGATACCATTGCTATAACCTGTGATGTGTGCCTCTGTACTACTTTTTACTGACTCTGTCGATTTTCCGGACTTAAATCGTGGTCGGTAGTCCTGGAAAAGTAAAGTAAAGGCAAACAACAGCAATGTGAAATTATGGNAAATATTTGTATCACTCATTGAATATAGCAGGAAAGAAAATGAAGGGTGCAGAATCGCTGATGGTTTAAATCTCCTTAGTTACAACGTTGTCCATTTTAGACAAAGGCTTATTATAGTTACAGCCCTAATAACATTCAATTTTCTGGGACTCAATATGTGTCTTGGTCTTTTCGTTGTGATCGCTAAATTCAACTTTGTTTATAATATTATCACTATAACACTGACCCAGATCGCTGGATCGCTAGAAACACCGCTGTCATCAGTTTGGCAAGGGCTGTTCCATGCTCTGCTCAACCTCCCGGCGGGAGGCTCCCGCCTTCCCCAATGGACTCAGTAGCGCCCCCTGCTGCCGTGGAGCATGTGCCAGCCACGGCGGAATAATACTGCCAAAAGTCACGTGACTTTTCTGCCGTGAGAAGAAAAAGCTTTGTAGTTGTAAAAAAATGTGTGTACTTGTAAAACCTATGCTGAATTTGTCTCTGAAACATGATTTATTAGAAAAAATGTTTTGTGTTTGTTTGATAGATAAGTTTTTTCTTTGCAAAACTAAATGCATTAGTTTGTAGATGGTGTTTTGTATTTGCAAACCACATTGTGTTTGTTAGTGAATCATGAGGCATTTGGAAAACCTGTTTAGTTTGTTTGTGGAGTTATGGCAGGAAATTAGCTCCATACATAACCTAAATGCACGTTTTCATTAACTAATATAGGATGCTTGTGCAGTCTTTTGTGCTTGTGGACTGCTACACAGTATTTTGTGTAAGATCACTGTCTGTTCACGTTTTATATGTACAACTTGTGACTGATCGTCTGTGTGTCTGAAACAGGCATTTCACTTCACCCTTACAAAGGATGACACTTGTCAGCTATACAATTTATGTTAGCCCACTTACTGACTTCTATTTGGCACATGGTATATTTACTTTTTTTGTAGCTAAACTCGATTGCTCACTTTTTTTGTTTTTTTATTAAATATGCATATACATCTAGTGAAAAACCAACCTCTTGCGTGTCTCCTTGGACCTCTTGTTCTGAGGTACTCTGTCCCATTGTCACCCTGTTTCTTCATAGGGATGGTCCATCAACGGCCACTGGAAACAAAGACAAACATGATTACAAAACTGACCTTGTGGCATGTCACAGTAGAAAAACACGGGTGAATGGTTGAATGTTTGCTTAGGAAATGTAAATATTTTCCTGACTTTTCATTTGCATCCATGGATAGATGTTACCTTGCTTCTAGGTACTTAACATTAACAAACATCCACTCACTGGCTATTTAGAGCTTTCTCATTGTGAACTACACAATTAACTCAGCATAGTTTGTACTCCTATTAGGAGCATGTAACATTGTAACAGGGACATACATGCACACAAACAAACACATAATTGCTTTAAGCTGCTGTAAAGAAAAACACGTTTAACCAGAAAGAGAATATGAAGCAGGGGATTAAAAAACAACTGTTTATATTCTCAATTGTCTGGTTGAAACAGACTTAATCTCTACTTAAAATCCGTTTAACCGAGCATTAGAATCAGAGAGGGATCAAATGATTGCATCCTACAGCAGCACACGAGGGAGGACACTAGTCAAGGCTAAGTCTCTGTCACACACACAGCAAGCTATCGAGATAACAGATAGCAAAAGGTTCCAGATGGTAACCCCTTCCCCTCTTTTTATCCCAGAATGGTCTCCTTACTGTCCCAATTCATCTGTGGCGCTTCTATTGGGGATTCAGAGAAAGCATTTAGGGCAGCATAATAAAAAAGTGTTTGTAGGCATGGTTTTCCTGTACAATTTCTCTTTTTTAAACCTGTGAGCATGTTCAAGGTTCAAGGCTTTTATTAGTCATACGTACATAGCTACAGTGTAGTTATGACGATGGAAATCTTAGGTCACAGGCTCCACCAACAGTGCAATACAATAAAATGTATATTAATATGTGTAAGAAATTGCGGTTAATGGAGAGGTTTCCCTATAGCCGACAGCTTGAGGTCTCTGCCTCTGATAACTGTGACATTGTGCTGAGAGGCAATAATTCCCAAAGTTCATCGAGGATGGCTACATACCACCTCTCTGCCAGTACAGACGGATTCAGCTGACACGGGCTTATGTGCTGGAGCTGGGACACAAGCTTCATTCACTGCCTATGAACAAATAAACAGCTAATGCTAGCTTAGCTCGTTGAGGTCCACCGATTTCCCACTCCTACACCAGCAGAAGTGAGGCTGGAGGGTAAACTATTGGGCTAACAAGACACTCCATGTGTGCTGAGGGCATACAAAGTAGGATACAGCAGCAGAGCGAAGAAGCCTCTAAACAAGAAAGCGTCTCACGGCTAATAGCCAACACTTCAAGACCATTAGAGAAAAGTCATTACCATAGCCGTAGAAGTTACAACAAGCCTCTTGTTCTGTGTCTTAGGTATTTAAAGATGTTTTAGTGCATGTTCATATTGGTAAATAAGGATATTGTATAGTGATTGCATCTCCTCTGGCATTACATTATAATGCATTGATTTATAAACACTGTACTTCAGTTGCTCTTGGTGTATACTGCTAATAAAATGACTAACTTCAGAACCAACTAATGTTAAGTTGTTCATTTGATTATTACTTTTGACAATGTCTTTTTCAGTAATTTTACGGCAAAATGATCAAGAATGATTATCTACAGCCCTTTGATAAACATCAAATTAACTGGTAATTAAATAAATCCTTTAAAAAAAGTCATTAGGAATAGTAAAACAAATGTCCATCAACTTCATAAATTTCAATTCACAATGAAATGAAACAAAGAAAAGACGCTTATCATTTCATTTAGGAAGACGGTTCAAGGTTTAATGTTTTTCTTTTAGTATGTGTGCCTAAAACTGAATGAATTTCCAATTACCGTCAATTCAGTTCTTACAATTAAAAGCCATCAATTTATTGAAGGCTTCAGCTCTTATCTGACATTCAATGTAAAATAATGATGTGTTGTGCTTATATTGACTGTTAAAAGGTTTATTAAAGAACATATTTGCCAATGATACCAGCAATGTCCCAACATTGTCCAGACTGAATATGAGGTAACAACACAGATTGGCATCAGCTGCATCCCTTGTCTGATGTATTTACTGCTGAAATCTATAATATCTGTGGCTGGGAGAGGGTGGCTGAACTGCTGCATGGATGAAACTAAAGCAGTGAAAGGGTGAGGATGCAGTGTCATGTTACATGAAGTACCCCTGTGAGTCACACACAAACAGAACAGGAGGCTGCTGCGAGGGAATCACCACTTCAAGCACACTTATTTATAACCAAAATATATTATATTGAAGTGCATTTGAAAATTAAAACATTTGACTTAATCTTCCAATATTGATTAATCATAAAAAGGTTATAATATGGTCTTCATTATTTTTCAGACATTGTTAATGACATTCTCGTATACAAGTGGTCTTTTAATGCAGAGTGCAAATTAATAAAAAAAGTAAATTATAAGAAAAGTGTGTTTGACACTGAAAGCTGTCACCATGCTTTCAATCTTAAGAGTGCAAATTCAACACCAGCCAAATGTCAGCAATGGGCAGGCATATTTATCAAATCTTTTACTATTTTTAAAATTGCCTTTCCAAAAACAAGCTTGTAGATTTTGGGATATAACTGTTATATGTAGTGCTCTTGTAAAACATGTCTTACTCTGCCTCTTGTAGCAGAGTCGGCTATCGCAGCAAGCGATGTAACAAAACGTACTTGCTATTACTCAAAACATGTTGCTTCACATTACACTTTGCCTCAGATTGTCTCTCTTTTCTCTGTATATAGCATCAAGTGTGGTGATACAACTGTAAGAAAAGCACAGGCCTGTTATCCCCGGAAATGAGACTATAAGCAACGCATTAGCCTCCTAGCAGTGCCTCTCTCCATGCAGGCCTATTCTCATTGTCCTCTATGTACAATGAAGCTAGTGTTGACTCTTCAGTCCAGGGACAGACCTGGGCCAACTACTAACACAGCCATGTCTGTTTTCACCTAACACAATACACCCTCCAGGCCATGATATTCACAAAAACGTGCCTGTATGATGATGCATTTTAAACCCCCTTTTAGGAATATGTATGGCTGGAAAATGTCTGCCACAAGGTAAAGCCATTACTGTGACTCTGCACTATATCCACATTTGAAGGATGTTGCAGTGCCAGTGCAAGAAGACAACCACAGATGAACATTTATTTGGTTGAATGTGCTACTTTTAACACTGTGCTGGACTATCACCTTTGACCCTGAAGGTTTAGCCAACTGTACACTTCACACTTTATGGAGAGAGATTTTAATAAAACTATAAGAAAAGACAACATAACACAACAACATACAGGCATCAGCAAACTTCTGACCAAGGTCAACTCAGAGGTTTGACATGATCTCATAATTCCCCCTACCCAAATAGTTTTGCACCTCACAGAGGTGTTGACTTACTGACATCTCGTAAATCCCATGGCAGGATTGTTCAGTTGTAAACACATATGAAACGCGGGGAACCACTTAACAGAAAATTAAAACAATTGTATAATTTTCTACCAATAAACCTCAAGCTACGACACGAAATACGTAACGTTGCTAATTCGCAGGTGTAGTTCGTATAGGCTACTCGCATGGGTGTATTGATGTTGAGTGTTTGACGCAGTGGTGTACAGTTAGCTAAGCTAGCTAACGGGCAAAGGAAGCACACAGGGGATTGTGGATACATACATATAGTTAGGCCTTATTGTTTATATTCGGACAAGTGTTAAATGTGTGATTTCAGCCTTGGGAAACGTTAAGCAAATGTGGTAGTATTATTTGTTAGTATTTCGTAAGATTCGTGGGTTGAAAATAGCAATCACAATAACTCTCCAGCGTCCAGGGCAGAGGGCACCTGCCTGAATATCCCATCCATATCGTAATCCCTGCGGCTAGCGCTGTCACTGGGTAACCGTAACGTTAGCTAGCTTTCGATGCTACATATGTCTGTTTCCTGTGGTCATCATCGCGGATGTGGAAGTAAAGCACCTCAAAGCCATCATTTATGTTGAATAACATTAGGGTTGTCTTTTTGACCTCCGCAGCAGCAATCATACCGTTATTGACACACACTTGAAGGGGTGGCCCCTGTTTTCACTGCGCGGTAAACACAAAAACGCGAAAATAAAACGGTCAATAAATGACACGACCGGGAGCTTACATTTGTCATACTAACAATATGTCATCAAATAATACATAGCCGTTTCAAGAATGCATTTACCTGATCTGATAGACTCCCGTCAATCGGCACTGACTCAAATAACATACAAGGGAAATCACTGATGAAGCCCCTCCCGTTTTCCTTCCACCAGAATTGTAGCCAATCAACTGAGAAGCTGTAAAGATGGGCCAATCAAAACGCCTATTTTTGGGGAATGGTGTATATTCCACCCACATACATGTAAATAAATAGTGTCTTTCCAATCATTTTTGTGGAAGACAGCCAGTACATCGCCGATTGGGTAACATCAGGACATATTGCATTTGTCTATAACTGCAGGTAAACTTTTGAGCGTTTTATTCGGACTTCGACATGAGACACACGGGCAAGTTTGAACATACAAAACACTGTATGTGAATTTAATTTAAGCTTTATATTACTGATCACAGATAATAAATTTCAATTACTTTATATACCCGACCTCTGTACTCAGAGGTCTTCATCAACACGTCTACTTATTAAATTAGCCAACAACTCTTAGGTAATGTATTTATTTATTTATATATAAGCTCAATAGCTCAAGCCTTGGAAACATATTATCGTACAGTGGTACTGGCTACAGTTATAAACCCAAGAGGATAGCATTATTCTGCAAGTCAACATGTTAGCAAGAAGCCTTTATATCGCTACCCCTGCGGGCTCAAACTATAGTATCACAGGCTGTTACTGGTCTTAATGTAAAAATAACAGTCAAGAAACTGAAAATAACATGCGCATCAAATAATGAAATAAACAAATGGTTCTCTTCCAAATACATAAACTTTATTGATGGGCGAGTGGCCAGAAATATGATTACAGGCTCGCAATGGGCTGGTGGGGCCAGTAGGGATATTTTTCCTTGTCCAATTTGGTCTCGGGGAAGTAATTGTTGAGGTCCTCGATGGTCATCTGATCGACTGGAATCATGTCCTTAAATTTACCCAGCTGAGACCAAACATGGAAGAATAGAAAAAGAGAAGCAGAAAAAAAACAGTAAGGTTATAAATGCAGGTTTACTGATGAAGTGCAAGAGTGGTTTTAGCAACAAATGTCTCACCTCTTTCTCATATTCAGCAATGCGGGCCTTGGAAGCTTCAATGTAGGCTAGAGCATCTTTATTCTGTAGGAGAAATATGAAATAATTAGACCTTACACTTCTACAGATAATGCTGGTACTATCAAATAATACATTTCAATGAATTCTGGTTCTGGTTTCTGTCTTTCCTTGCTTTAATTAACTAAAAAAAAAATCAGTGTCAGATGGATTTCGTTAGTGTTAACTATTGTGTATATTAACATCATTTAAGTGCTTATTAAAAAAAATGGCATAGTTACCAATTTTGGTTTAACGATCTTTCTTTTTATAAAAAGTCAACCAATTATACAACTTTATACCGTTGTTGTAGGTGTAATCACTTACAGTTTCAGTCTCCTGTGCGTTGATGGCGGAGGTCTGTGTGTCCACAGGCTGAGGAATCTGCAGGGCTTGGAACTGTGTGTAAAAAGAGCATTTTGCATTTAGCACTGTAACACATAAACTGCAATTATTCAAATAGCACTGCAAGTCATTAAATCTGCAGGGGGGAAATAAGTTATTTTAAGACAAAGCTTCAGTGACAAACCAAGATTTGTCAGATTCTACTGCCTTTAGAGAATCCTTTGAATTCACCATTTATTTGGGTCCTGTATTGTGTTTTACATTATGTGGAAAGGTCTCAGTAAAGCTAACTACCAGTGTCAGATGTGGGATTTTACTTACACCCACATTTCATTGAACGACTGCATTATGCTCATGATCAGTTAAATACTGCCGTCAAGTAAAGCTCACCTTCTTCTCAAAATCATCAACCATCCCAACTTTGGCCACCGTGGTCCGGTAGAGACTCCAGTCAATGGCTGCAGCAGTCTCTGGCAGGGAGCTCAGTCTGGTTCAAAGAGACAATGGGAGTTTAACAGACAATATAGGTACAGTAAGCAAACTCAAGAGGACATCAAAGATTCAAATGGGTTTTTAACAGTTAAGAATAAGCCAATGTGTTCCCTAGTTGATCAAAAAGGTGAGTAAGACAATAACTGTGCAGAGACAACTTAATAACCCATTAGCATCAATTGCTAATAAGAAACCCAATAAAATGCATATAAGCAAAAATAATAAAATGACAAATACACGTAATAAACTGTTTTTGTCCGCATTCATGAAGTAGAGGAGGTTTTCCTAGTAACACTGTGGGCAGCTGATGCAGTGAGAATTTATAGATGAATGTACACTGGTTTAAATAGTCTCCTGTGTTGCCGAGTTCAGCTGGAGAGTCTATTCCTTGTACACACTGTAAAGCCCCCTTAGACAAGTGTCATTTGTGACATTGGGCTTTATTAATACAATATGATTGATTAATTGATTGATGTGCACGCTCATGTCCTACTTGCACTCCGGGGCTTAAACAAATAGCACTACACTCCTGGCCAAAATGTCCTTAAAAACAAGTCAGAGTTTGAATTATAACTCACTTAATCTCCACAAGTAAACATAAGCATTGGTGGTCTCAAGAAGCGCCACCTCCACCTGTTCGCACAGGTAACTTTCTTGTTTCCCCACGCACAATTTAATTTATTTTTTCCATGCTCCGTCAAACCACATTTTTCACAATTTACTTCTCTAAAGTACAGTTCAACACTATAAGACCTAAATTGATTCAAGCTGACTTGGCATAGCATTCTAAGCCTGTTGTTTGTGTTAAACTAACTTGGCAGCGATGGCATCACTGCGAGTCTTCAGAGCATTGAACATGCTCTTCTGGTTGGGTGGGACCCTCTCGGCAAACGCCAACCAGTCAATGGCCTTCACGGCTACACGGCGGCCTGCCATTATGTATGTCTGAAAGGAAGAAGGAAATCTTGTTCGTCAAATCAAACCCATCAAAAACATGAAAATAAACCAGGCTACTACGGAAAAAACTATTTTCTGGTTATATACACACACAGAGTTGCAAGTTAATGAAGTACATCTAGCTAATACTAATACTATAGTACAGTACTGCAATAAATCCCAGCTGCATAAATGTTGATATTCAATGTGTCTTGAAGCTATTTGGGAGTTTGACAGGAGAGAAAAACTCAAGGTCCCTTACTTAGTTTTTGAATGAACTTTTGTCTGCCAACAAGGTCAAAAGTGAAACGTAATACTTGTGTTTTAGGTAGGTGTTGATAAAGTGTATGATCATCTTGCAAGTTGTAATCGCTGGCGAATATTTTACCCCGTTTATATCAGTGAGGGTAAAAAACGAATATTTAAAAAAAAAACGAAATATGGATTTCAACATGTTACCCTTAACAGGATGTATTTGGATGTAGGATGTATTGCAGCGCTGTGTGTAATGAATGTGTAGCAGGTTTAATAATGACAGAGTCCTTCTTAATTTCCACTATGTAATGTATACTATGTAGTGATCGTCTACGTTAGCCATACGAGGGTTGACATACATGGGAAGACATTTACCTGCTGCTGACACAAAGGTTATATGTAGCCATATATAGATGAAAATAATTGATTAATTAGTGCATTATTGTTGCAGCCTGGACAGAGAAACATACTTGTATTTGCAATTTAAGGCGCATTGTGATGTTATAAACACATAGCAGTTTGTGTTAAGGACAAGTGGCGTTAGCGTCAGGTATAAATGCATTTTCGAAAGTGAGGTTTCGAAAAAAGACTATGCTACATTGTAAGGAATGTTTTTTAATAACTAATGGAGAAGTTGACAAGGTGAAAACACATGTTTGACCATAGGCATTCAATGACACCAGGCCCTTGACATTATGTTTAAGACTCCTGCTAGCTCTGTTAGCTTGCTAGTGAAGGTCAGTCAAGTCTCTCTATTACACAGGGTTTTTCACAAAACACCCAGGAAAATATACGTGTACTGTTGAAAACCATGCACAAAGACACGTGTATAAGTTGCACAAACAACTATTTAAACAGACGTTCTTTAGATTTCATTTAGGAGATCGCTGCTCGGATGTACTCACCTCGCTGCTGAAAGAGTAGTGACGTAGTGGAGCAGCGGAAGTGGTTTTCTTTATGAGTGGAGGATCAGCAACATGGCCGCCACCGCCCTCTGCTGGACGGGCAGGGCAGCTACCGAGAGTTACACTGCCCATTTGTCCGTCGGAAAAGCTCACAATAGGTCTGTAGTCTCTGACTGTACATTTGGCAAAGGTGGAAAATGTACTAACATCTTGAACTTAAATAAAAGTACAAGTAACACTTTGTAAAAATACTATGTTACAAGTCAAAGTCATCCAATCAAAATGTTACTCAAGGTAACGTAAGTAGAAAAGTATAGCATCTGAATATATTAAGCTACCAAAAGTAAATCTACTCGTTTTGCAGATTGGCCCATTTCACAATAATACATAATATGTTTTGATAAAAACAAAAACATATTAATTCAATGAAGCTGGTAAATGTGCAGCTAGTTTTAATGACTTTGTATATTAATTGCAGGGTAAATTGTGAATTTACTCCAGATGTAACCAACGTCTAATTTAAGTGTTGATTATATTTCACATCATTTATCCAAATCTGCAAAGTAACAATATTTTTTGAATAAATGTAGTAGAGGGAAAATACCCTATTTACTTCTGAAATGTGTTGTACAAAAAAATGAAATAGGCTACTCGAGTTCAATTAACAAATTCTACTTAACTAGAGTAGGCCTACCTGTGTACTCAGTTACTTTACATCCCTGACATTGAGGATAAACTGTATATTTACAACTAGGTGCTTTGGAGTGAAAATAAATACCTATATTAAACTGCAAGTCGCATTACTCTTGTTACTGTTGAGCCATATAAACCAGACATACGATCATTTTGTGTAGTGCGACTAGAACCTAATAACATAAAAATAAGACTGAGGGAAGTAGTTTTTCTTCTTAATTAAAGGTATAAGTACTTGCAATTAACATGGCTATAGATTAAAAAATATAAATGATTACCTCAGGGATCAAAACAACGGGCAGAATGAAATCAATTATCGCACCACGTTCACTATGTTGTCCAAATGTCATCAAACTGATAATTTGTGCTC